GCAACATCACCATAAGGCTCTAAAAGCTCTAGAACTCGGACCAAGTCTTTCCACGCCTCATTTCGAAGCCTACCACTTTAGAGCTTCGGTCTTATTTTTTTATAGTGGATTTAGAGTATTGTTTGATTGTTTAGTATTATAGGATAGTTAGATAGTTATTTTTAGCGTATATCTCGGTAGCCAGCACCTCTTCAACGTACAGTACATGTCGACCCGGCAAAATTAAATTTAAAAAAAAATGATGAAATAAAAAAATCATGCCTATTGTCACTGCCGTTAGGAGATTACTAATCTTACCACCAATTTAGTTCCAAAAATAAACGTTGTATCGATGTTCAAGTATTCCTGATGAGTTTCATAAAAACTAAATAGCGCTGTTAAGAAGGTTTTTCAGATGATATCCTTTTCGAAACATTATCGGATTCAATTCAGTCTCAATATCTAATGCCTTTTACCATCGAGATTCAACGCTTAAAATGATTTTTATGTTGTGTTCTCAAAAGGCATTTTTAAGCCCTAATATTCACGATAAATATTTTTTCTACATAAATGGATGATGCTTCTCCCTTCTCGAAAAGAAAAATAAAAAAATATTAAAAAAACCTTATTATAATAATATGAATATTTTTTTTAAAATAATTAAGTTCTTAAAAGATATAAGAGTAATAGTTCATGAATACAGTACACTATTCATTTATTAGCAAAAGACATGTAGATTATAATTTACATCAATTACAATAATTATGAATTGTGATTTACATGACAATGGAAAATATGTCTACGGTATTTGACCTGAAAAATAAAAAAATTTCATCGCTACAAATGATACAAATAACTATATATTTATTCGTAATTTTAAATCATTAGTTTCTAAACTGATTACCAATGGCCACAAAAGCGTCATTAAAATCATCCATTGGAATCACCAAAGGAAAATTTATATAGTAATCATTAAGTATGTTGAATTCCAACGGGTCCTAATATTGGTAGAACAGAAGAGCTTTTGTTTAACAATTCATTTAAACTTTCATAAATGCGAGTCGTTTTCTTGAAGAATATGAGCAGAACAACGGTGATGTGAGAATAAAATCGAGGTGCATGCCATTATTTATTTCTATGTTTGATGCATTTTCAGTTGTAAGATCTCTTCTAATCGTAAGATAAGTTGATGATGCAACTGTCATCTAAATTAATAAAATTTAGGCAGTAATATTTCATTTAAAATATATTAATGAAGCATATTGGTTTAAATATCCTATAATTTATTTAAAAGGTTAAAATTATGGTGCTTATGCAAATAATATCGAGTAAAAAATGATTGAATTACCAACCATAATAAAATTACTAAGCATCTTTAAGTTTAAAAGGGGTTTCAGTCGATTTTCTTGCCGATCTTTGTTTCTTTTCATCATTATTATATGATTCAATCCATAATTACTTCTTTGGTATTTTAACTGCTTTAAAAAAATTCTTTCAATTAGTATACCTGTTGCTAAATTTATAAAATTATACTGTAATGTATGGATCGTCTTAAAATAATTGTATAGTTGATAGGATTCATTACTGAGCGATAATATTACCTGGTTTTTCATCATTGCATTATATGACTCAACCTATTGTGTACTCTGTACACCTGCATTAATTGCTTGATGTGTAAAGCATAATAACCAAGCCTCACTATAAAATATAACCCACTTCTTTTTCAAAGACCAATTTTACCATCTGTACAGTGTTATTTGCACCTGATTGTCTGAACGTGCAATTAAATCTTTATCCTGAATTTATTACAACCGATTAGAAAAACACAAATGATAGCGAAATAAGAGAATTCATCGACCATTACTAACCTATTTCAATCAGCATTCATATCGGTATTTTCTATGCACTTCTTTTACAAGACCTGACTAAGAAATAACAAACGCGCGTTTTAAAATAGGGCTCTGGGTTTTCCGAAAAAGGGTATCAAGCTCTGAAAAGAATTTATGCCCATTTTTTGCAGATTTGCCCTTTGGCTCGTCATGTATAATTTCATACTCTAAAATTGTATAAGCAATAAATATGCGTATGTGATTAATTAGTCCATAACGACAACAGTAATTAGTTTTTCAGAATATACTGTACCCGATACCAATAAAGGAATAAATATAGAAAAGATTAACGTGCATATATTAGTTTGATAAGGTAACCAATCATCCATCATCATTTAAAAATTTATTAGACTTGTTGATAGACTTACGTACGTACGTAAATAAAGAGAACTTACCGTTACGTTACAGATTGAACTGATATGATATTACTAAGCCATGGGAAATAAACCATGGGAGTCGAATTCAACCACATTTTCTTCACAGATAACGGAAATATGCCATCAAAAGTTTAAAACTATTGGCAAGAATGGTAAACCATTGGCTTTTCAAAATAATTTAGAGTGGACTGTACTTGCAGGTATAGTTGCTTGTCATTTGACAGGTAATTATTACATCTTATTTTTAAGGTAAAAAATATATATATATATAAATATATATTTATTTATTTTATATAAATAAAATACTATTATAGAGTCTGGGGAGTATAACCTTGATTGTATTTCTCTCGGGTAAAATCCTGTTTGAATTTTCTTTTATTGAATTTTTGTGGATTTGTTTGTATTAACTAATAGAATTTTCTTTTTATCCGTAATTTTATCTATTGTGTGTATTTAATAGTAGTGGGCTAAAATGTCTTCCACAAAGTAAACTTTCCAAGACTGGTGATTTAATTCATGATAGCCATGCTGAAACGTTGGCGCGAAGAGGATTTTTAAAGTTTGTATTTAACATTTTAAATTCTAATTTATGATATGCACGTTTTCGTATTAATAATTTTTATTTTAGTTTTATCATAAATGAAATGAAACTATTGTTAAACTCAGAATCAATATATCTTTGCTTGAATGATACGAATTATCCACCATTTAGATTAAGAAATAATATTACTTTTCATATGTACATAAGCCAAGCACCTTGTGAGTTTCAGTATTTGTAGCATTTTATTTTTTTTTTAAAAAAAAAAGCAATTTAAATCATTCAAAATTATTTGATAGGTGGAGATGCGTCAACAACAAGTATAGCTTTGAATCAGTCGTCAGAAGATGCTGAGTTATACATTAATTCATATAACAACAATATTGATTCTCAAAATTATGATATAATGAAAAGAAACCAGACCTCTGAATGTAATGGTAAAGTTGAAGTTTCTAAGATGAAAGATGGATTTCGGCGGGGCAGAGTTGATTATGGATCTTTTGGGGTCTTGAGAACAAAACCAGGTTTGAATTTTTTTATGTTTTAGATTGTATTTATCCATTAGTAATCTCGTGAATTGACTTTTATATTTAGGAAGAGTTGATTCTGAACCAACTTTATCAATGTCTTGTAGGTATAAATAATTTAATACCATTGATAACTTTTAAAATATTTAATTGAATTAGTCTAATAATTTTTTTTTTTTAATTATATAGTGATAAAATTGCTCAATGGAATGTTGTAGGATTACAATCAGCCTTGTTATCTGAATTAATATTACCAATTTATTTATCATCTATTATTGTGGGTGATATGTTTTGTCTGGAAGACTTGAACAGAGCTTTATATGAAAGAATACAGGGTTTAACAAGTATATTTTTCTGTAAAAATTTTTGTTGAAAATTTATGCATTTTTGTGATTTGATTATCAAATTTATCAATTTTTAATTCTCCAGACCTCCCTCATGGGTATTTCTTACACCAGCCTGCCATAATTCCTTCTTTAGTGAAATTTGAAAGATCAAGAGGTTATCTATCTGAACGTTTGCTAGATAAAGATTTGATTCCATCAAATATAGGTATTTTTTGTTATATAATATCACTTAATACCATTGGCCACTGCGTATAATACCGTATTTTGCGCGAAATGATGTCCATGGACATTATTTTGTGACACAAATTTGAGGCGAGCTAATAATTAATTTGGCAGAATGTAAATAATAATTTTTGTATTAAAATCTTTGGCTAAATTAATCATTAGCTCGCCTCAAACTTGTGCACTGAAATAACGCTCATGGACGTTATCACAAATACGGTACCTAGCCTTATTCGAGAGCAATTTTTAAATTGTGTGAGAAATCGGGCATTATATTTGGTGAAATATTGTATGAGAGTAATAATCAATATAATATATCTCCGAGTAATATTCAGGAATTAGTCATATGGGTAGTAAATATGATAATACTCGGGTCTTAACTATAGAGGTATTACAGTATGTGTGGCTAACAGGTAATAGTAATAATATTGCTTATATACATTTTTACACTCTTATTAAATCAAATAAAGCGACAATTTGGATAAAAAATTCCGAGTCAGCAGAGGTACTTGTGTCTGGAAGAAAGCAAGGAGCAATTAAATCCAAAAAAACTGGCCTCTATTTGTCTAAAACTAGGTAATTATTGTTTTAAAGTTATAATACAGCATATTATATTATATTTATTTATCTGTTTATTATATAGAAGTTCAGTAACAAAATTAAGTTTATTTCAAAATCTTGAAAGTTTATTGATCCAAATTCCTAATTCATTAGTACCACAAAACTTGACGTAAGTTTTTTTTTTTTTTTTAAAAAAAAAAAAAGCAGTCTAATCATAATACTGATTGTGAGTTTTTTTTTTTTTATTAAGTCAATTTATAGAGCAAGATTTACGAAAAACGTTTACATATAAGATGTTAAAATCCAAAAGTAAAAATTATCAAATTGCTAAACAAGTATTGAGATCACAAAAATTTCACGAATGGATAAAATGTCCAAGTGAGATTTATGAAAATTTTAATCTAAATGGCGAATTAATTGAGCAAAGAATGCGAACTGAATTTTGATATTGTTAATATTTAATTGATGGGTGGTAATAAATATCACAGCTGAAGCTGAAAATTTTTAAAAGTTGACGGGCGGGTCACTTTTAGAATTCTATGTTATGAGAAACAATCAATAATTATAAAATGTGCCTATGGCGTTAAACACCATATATAATTTTTTATTAAAATTTGGGGTTAGGGTGCAGTTTTAAGATAAAGGAGGAGTTTTATGTAGAACGGATATAAGGTCCCGATTTCAGTTTTAGTGAGGTTTTCAGGGGTCCTAAACATTTCTGCTAGAACCCAGACCCTAATTACTTAGTACATTTTCAAGGAATAGCATCTATGGTGTTTAGCACCATAGGTGCATTTTAGTAAACAAGGAAACAATTATTTAATTTTGTATGACTTTAAGAAAAGCCGGAAATTTATTTTTTTTTAGCCATTACAATCTACTAGCCTTAACTCTGTAGCCAGATCATAATGCTCTACTAAGTTCTAACTGTTATAAAAGCTGAATGATTTTTGCTTGTCATTTTATTTCATCTTATAAAAGGTTCTACCGCAAAATCTCGAAAACCATTTTCCTAAAAGAACATAATACCGACTAAATTGGCCAGCATTATAACTAATGCCGGCTAACTTTGTCGGTATTGGGTCCTTTCGGGAATCTGTCTTTCAGGATTTTGTGGTTAAACCCTTATAAAAGGTGCATATATCCTGCTAAGTTTATTTATATCTACTAAAATGTAGAATTGCAATCAAAGGTTTGTATGACTACAAAATTCTTTATTAATTATAGTTAATAATTTAAGCAAAAATTTACAGTTAGAATGATTTTTCTTCTTTCGGTTCTTCGTTAACAAGAAATTATTCATGGCTTTCAAATAGTCTTATTTGTGCAATAATTATTTTTACGTGATCAGTCGAATCTTTTTTGTCGTTAGTACGTCCAAGTTAACATGATAATTTTTAGAGAAATTTCGAAAACAAAAATCGGCAATAACTCATGGTAGAAATCGTGGTAATTTCTAATTCGATATTAGCAACATACTGTAGTCACTGGAATAGCGAGGAGGATTCTTATGATAACTCATGATAGAAATCATGATAATTTGATACCTTTACAGAATTTTTTACGGTAAATCATGTTAGAACTACAATAATTCCAATGCAAATTATCTTGAGTTTAACTACATACTATGGTTACCAGAATAGCAAGTAAGTTCTATAAGTGTTTTTAATACAAACTAACTTGACCACTGTATGTAACACATTAGCAAATTCTTTATTGTAGAAATCACAATAATTCTAATATAAATTACCGTAAGCAAGTAAGTTCAGCAACAGAGTTTTTATGATAACTCATAATAGAAATCACGATAATTTGATACAAACTAGCTCAATATTGATCACTGAATGTACTGTACTTAAGTTCTTTACAGAATTTTTTATCATAAATGATGTAGAAATCATGATAATTTTAATGCAACTAACTCGACCCTAATCACATAACGTAATCACTGGATAGCAAGTTCGTAACAGTTTTTATAGTAACTCATTATAAAAATTATGATAATTCCAATATAAACCAACTCGACCTTAACTGCTATATGTGTCGACGACGTTAGTAAGTTTTTCTACTGCAAGCCATGGCAGAATTGCGTAATTCTAATGCAAACTAACTTAACCATATACTGTGACTACTGGAAAAGCAAGTAAGTTGAAACAGTATTCATGATAAAGATTATAATAATTTCGACACTAACTCAACCACTATATGTACTGCATGTAAATCATAGCAAAAATCACAATACAAGCCTAAGTTCTGTATCAAAGTTTTTACGGTAACTCACGATAAAATCATGAAATTTCAATACAAATAACTCAACCTTAACACCAGAAAGTAAGTTTTTCACAGAATTTTATAATAAATTATAAAAGAAATTGCAATAGTTCTAATACAAAACTAATCAATACATTACGAGAGTGGTCTATAATAAAATTTTTACAATAACTCTCAATATGTTAAAATTACTGAATAAGATAGTGCACTAATTTATATATATAATTTTTTTAAAAAAACTAAAAGCCGGTTTGCTGGATCATTTTTTAAAATTTTACGTTATGAGAACTAAAAAATTAACTTTTACGGCCTTATATATATAATAAAATAAATTGTGTTCATTTATAGATTACTGTAGAAAGTTATACAAAAGCATGTATACACTGTGACTACTAATATATGTTATTTGTCCTTTCGGCAATTCTCACTAGTGCATTAAGCTAGTTCTTTTATTTTATCCACTTTTATATCTTTTGAAAATGCTTTCTTAGTTCAAAGAATGAACAATAATTTGAATTTAAAAATTTTTTTTTTACAATGAACAATTTCAAATTATTTTGTTACTCACTTGTATTACATTTATTTGTAATATTTGGTGAATCTTGTTTCCTAGGCCCACGATATGGACACGTATCAGCATTTATTAACAATAAATTATATTTTGTTGGTGGCGAAACTTCTGCAATAAATGCAATGGTTCCTTCTAATGACTTTTTTTATATCGATTTTTCTATGAGTTTTAATAATACAATCAATAATACCTTACACAGATATTTCATACTTGCCTGGACTTCCAAAGATTGGTTTCGCGGGTTCCTACATTGTTGGACCTAATAAAGATGTGATAATGATTTTTGGCGGGGAAATAGAAAGCAATTGCTCTGGTTACCAGTTAATATACACTTTTGACACACAAAAATTAACTTGGAAACCTTTCACTACGAATGGAATTCAACCACCAAGGAAAGAAAGTATTAGCCCAATAATAAATTCATTTGAAAAATTATTTTCTTTCGGTGGATGGATGGCTCCTGAAACAGGTGCTGCACAAGCTCAATATTTGTATCTAGACATATTAGATATTATTGGATTAAATTGGTCAAATGATTCTTTATTAAACGCACCTACCGCAAGAGGTGGGTATGCTTATACATGGGTGCCTAAATTACCCATCTTAATAAAAAAGTAATTACGGCATTTAGGCAGCCGAAATTATTCTTATATAGTGCCGAAATTAATTTTCATATTTGCCGAAATTATTGCCGAAATTTTTTGAACACTTTTCATCAAAATACACTATATAATATAGTTATTTCGAAGGGTTTCATATAAAAAATTTGGCAATGCAGAAATGTTTGTCGAAAATATGATTTTTCAAAAATAATTTAGACAGCCATGTATAGGTATGCTTCTATTTTGTTACCAAATGATACTATCCTTTATTTAGGTGGGTGGTCATTTGGGTTAACTATTGAGTTAAATGCGGTATGTTTGTTTATATAAGATAGATGAGGTATTTTTGATGAAATAGTTTATATTAAATTTTGCCTATTTCGATTTAAACCTTTTTTCTTCTGTCATAAATTTGTACGCGATTTGGAATAAATTCAATTATGATAACAAGCAGTTTTTAGATGATAATAAGCATTATGTATATAGTACATGACTTAATTTTAAGGAGGGTGTGATATGTTGATGAGCTGAGATTATCTTGATATTCAGTGATCATACTCAAGTGTTTTTGACAATTCATTCCTTGCACTGAAACAATTTAATAGCAATGAGAGGCTGTATAACTAAACCGTGTTGTGTCGTAACAAATTGGATATAGATTGTGATATATCATGGTTCAATTATCAATTAAATTTCTATTCTTCTCACAGTGAAAATCATGTTTAAATCCGATTTCTATGCCGTCAATTCGTCAAAATACCTCACATCATCAAATAATCATGTTTTACTTTATATAAGAATCAAATTTTTACACATTTAAATTTATTCTCTATCTTAGGTTTATTTGTATGACACGAATAAAGATTCGTGGGACAAATGGTAAGCAGACAAAAAGTTCTTGAATTCATATAAATTTCACATTAAATTCCATAAAAATTAATCTGTTTTTGAAGTCAATAAATGACGTGGTTCCTGAAGGTCGTGGTCATTTTACTGCTGTGTTTGGTAATATAATTTTATAAGACTTTTTTTTTAAATTAATAATGTATCAAAACTAAAATCAAAATTTATGTTAAAGGGTTAAATAAAGATCGTTTAATTATTTATGGTGGGGAGTGTTCTGTGCCCTCAATTCACGATGCACAACCAAGTTTAGCTGTATTGAATTTAAGTTCAAAGCCTTTTGCGTGGATTTCTCAGAAAGTGTCTGGATATATTGGCTCGCCATTATTAACGCGTCATACCGCAGACGTTGGGGTGGTCAACTAATTAAATCAAACATATATGTAGACCCATAATAAAAACAATTAGGCAATTTTTTTAATGCGAATGTATTGTTACATGAATAAATATCACTTTTCAATAGGAATTTATTATACGAAAGTGATAGATTTTTGAAATCT